CCAACTCTATTTGTGTATACCAGAGCTTTTACTGACACCTGAATGCGATACAAAGTCACCATCCTCAAGCATTTCTAATACACCTTAAATTGGGATGCAAGAAATGTACTACGTAAAGCTTCAAAGGTAATACATAGTTGGAATACAAAAGTATGTGGCCCCTTATTCCTGGTGCCCCCTTTAGACACTCTAGTCTCAATATTGCTTCCCCCAAATTCTATGATAACCAACTCCACTTCTCACGCCTACATGTTTCTCTTTCTCATCCAATATGCGGACTATGTTGGCGGATCATACCAACGCGCACCAAGCTTCGAGATCCGCTTCGAACTTCTATTTGACATGTGAGAACTTTCATCTTTCACCACCTATAGAAGCAAAATCACCAGTAGCTGGAAAATTCATTTCAGACTATGACGTCTCTCAGATTCGTGGCTCCAGTCGGCGGAGCAACCAGAAATGTTGGCATTAAATGCCGTTTACATCCAAATACACAAGTTCTTCCACTTCCGACTAGTAGCCACCTGCAAACGAAGCTAAGCAAAGGTAAATACGACGCACCGGCCTTGAAGTTTTGTTGAATGGTTTAATGGTGAAACCTCATATATTCTCCATTGTAATAGGTCTAGGCTGGCCTGGTGTTCGGTTAGATTGGTGTGAGTCTAGGTCCATAGATAGAGTGTGCTTGTTTTCGTCAGCGGATACATGGAGCATTCTGCCGCCTCGGATGGGGTTCATACCAATGGAGCGCTGTGCTTGCTTCAGTTCTGCATTCACTACCCGACTGTATTGGCTGGTTGGTATCACCTTATCTAGATTTTTACAGTTGGTGGCACCCGGTATTAGGTATAGAGTCGACTCACTTCCAGAACAATGGAATCTACGCGCCCATGAGCATCATCTTGAATTTGTTGGCAGCCGAACTAAACTTCATTCTCATTTATCTACCGTTGAACAAGGGTTAACATGGGATCTTTTGCTACCGAAGCTGAGATGTGGCACTATATTATCCCAGCTCATAATGATACCAGATAAAGTGTTTTCTGAAAATGGTCTTGAAGTGGTTCACCATAAACTAAAACTTCGTGACATTGTCTCGCATTCATTCGATATAGCTAACTAGCTATCCTGAACCCTCAGAATCTTTACTCGGTGGAGAAAACTGTTTACTCTGTTTTGAGACTAACAGCACTACCTTGTAAAGGAAACGTTCGGTTTACGGTCTAGCTCGCACACGTGCTCTTTCCAGTCCCTTTTCTTATATTCGCCTTTTCGGAGGGGAAGACAGATCTGTCTGAATACGTCAAAGCCAGACACTGGTTTCGTACACTTTGGAAGGTGTCCTCAGGGTGAATGCGTCACCCCATCTTCCGCAAACATTATTGACCACGCCGGCCATCTAGTCTCCTGAAGATTTATTAACATCATTATGCCCACATCACTTCTGTGTTCTGTGGTCACTGGATTTCACCAAATAGCTCGGAAATGTGCATAAATAACCTCCCCACCCTACCTACGGGGAAACGTCGTTATTCTTCTGGGAGAAATATGTCCCAATGACGTCATCAAAAGTCGCGACATAATTTTTTTCTTCTGAACCCTACGAACTTCTGCTCTTCCTGGGTAAAAAGGTGAATAAAATATCCATCCTTTGAAATACCAAGAGAGACCCTGAATAAGGCACAGAAATATTCCGGCAAGCAAGTGCTAGCCCTAATTACGTATTTATTTCACAGTAACTGAGTTCTCGTATTACTGTCGTATTACTACGACAGTTTTGAAATCTCCACCTCCGTGAAGCACTTTGTAGCTCAAGCTTTGTATCCCACCCTCGATGACTTCATAAAATGCCGTCCAGTCTGGTTTTTCCTGTTGTTTCATTAATGTCTTGAGTAATATTATAGATGTCTTAGCTATAATTCTGCAAAGCTGTCAGCAGCGTTAAATGCACTACCACTAAGTGTGGCTCAATTGAGCCAACTTTTGCAACACTGTAAGTTAACAATCATGTACGAATGTGAGAGTTGAAGCCCCTTCCTAGCTCCTGCCCGTAAAAACGGTGCATCACCAATATGAAAACTTATCATTATAGTCATTATCATTGCATTCACGTAGACGAAAGCAAACGAAATGTCGTTTGAAAGTTTGTCTGGTAGCAGACGGGATAACATGATCCATCAGCCACGGGCACACAGTTCAGCGCACAAGTATACTACCTGGATTACTTAGCGAAGTCCGTCATTCTTGAATGCACAGTTTCCTCTTTCCACAGAGTAAAATGTAACGCCAAACCAAAGTCATCAGCTCCTCTTAGACGTTTATGCACGTATCGAACTAATGGTGTGTAAGACGCCTTTGTTTGACACATAGTTGAGTCCTATAATCAGGTGTACAAGTCGTTAATAACAACGGGAGAAGGCAGAGAGATTAGGATCTAAATGTTGCACATGGTGAGGCACTTTCGTGGCGAACAGAGTTTCACGGTGGTATCTTTAGCCTTGAAAGAAAACAGAAGTAATAATAAAGACCGGGAGTACTTCACGAAATGGAAGTTTTAGATAAGCAAGGGATTATGAAGCATTTGAAGAGATTGCACGTAGGAGCGCCGTTGTTATCGTAATTATAAGTTTATTGTAACATCATTCTGGTAACGCCTTGTCGGCCGAAGCCAGACTGGTGGAAGGCGATGTGGCCAATTATTAACATGTAACCCTCTCGATTGCTCCAAAATATAGTGACTATTTGATTAACCAGTCAACGGCAGTCTCCGAAATCTCCGTGGAAGAGGGTTGTTCACATTACGAAGTCCAAGGTGAATGAAAGTACAGTGAGTGTGTCACATTTTGGTTTTTGTACATCATGAGCTTCTTCATACTCCACGACAAGCTCATATATAACTTGCTGAGATGGTGCTTCTCGACTTTTAGGGATTACTCACCTCTGCATTGGACTCTCTTTCAATCAGCTAGTGGAAAGAGAGCGCACAAGATTTCGCGTCATCTTTGAATGATTGGAAGTGAAATTTTTGAGGAAATGTAAGCTCTTTCTTTTGGTGGCACATAAGGTTTTGCTAGGGTCTACAATGTTCATGGTGATCTCTTGGCATGATTTAGGGGTTTCATTCCACCGTAACAGTAGTAGACAGTGGAAACTAAATGAGTGCTGTGAACAGCACCGTTATTACTTCTATTCAGCTGACTTAACCGATCCAAAAGTGTGCTTCAACCCCCTGGTCCAGCAAAGCACACGAAAGTTATCTTCCATTTACCTGTCCCAATCGTTCAATACCCAATTCAACTTCGTTCCAAGACGTATGTTGAACATTCTTTTTCATTAGTGTACAGAGACGACCATGAATTTCAATGTTCTCTCTGGAATACTTACTTCATCATGGTTTTTCTGATCTTCTTGAGGCAATTGCAAGAGGGTGATTCTGCAGTTATAATTATCATTTTGAAAACTGTTGTCTGCATCTACAGAATATACAAATTCTGGCCTTTCTTCCGATGATTCTCGGATTGTTTGAATACGTGGCGGAAGAGTCGTACTTGTGCGAAGTGTCTTTTTTTCCATATTCTTAAGTCTCGAGACTTGAAGAACCACCTCCGGAGATTGCCACTGCTTTGCCAGTAGACTGCGTTAAGAAAATTTTGAACTATAACATAAGTTTTGCTTTCATCCAGCTGGGATATGGACCAGGCAAAACGGCCAGTGGCTCCCACAGCATCGCAACACAGCCAACCTCATAATGATTCTTTTGTACTGCGTAAATTGTCACGAACTTGACTCAGCTGTGCACTTCTGTCTGGTGTCGATCGGGATAGCAGAGCGCAAAAATTTATAATAATGCAATGAGAGACTTTACTAAGATAGGTGGTTCAGGAAAAACACGGCAATCGCCCTGCATGCACTGCGTCACGGTTGCACTGTAGGATAGGATAGGGCGACAATTTCAAGATCCAGTATAGCTAGGTGGAGGGAGAGGTTGACCATAGAATCTTCTCTCATCGAATCAACGCCTGACACATGTAACTGCAATGAGTCATGGCATATTGCAGATATTTAGAAAATTTAGCTTCCACTGGGATAAATGAATGGACTGTTGCACTGTATGAAGGGAGTTTGTTAGCCGTACGGTCGCTTTGGTATGAATACGAGCAATAAATCATACTCGAAACTTTATCCAGCAAACAATACTACATAAATGTGTGCCATATCAAGTAGACAGTCTGATGAGAAACTTCGCTCTACTGCTGTCTCACTTTCACGCTAACGCCTGATAGTTAGGCGTCTCACTTCCAGTTATCATATCTCCAACAACAACTGCCATGTCCTTGATGTGATCTTGCCAGCTCTTTCTCCCCATTTGACTCCCCATGATTCCCCTAGTTTATTTATATTCTTCTTATCACTCTTTTCTCTACCACCTTCCACGATTCTACCTAGGTTTCTCTTCTTACTTTTTTCGCTTAATCAGCTTTTTTCCCACTTCCTCCCCATCATTCTCGCTAGACACCCTTCCATTCTTCCTATCTTCTTTCCACAACCACTATAAGCAACCGTCCGTTGGCCTGATATTTGAGACACCCATTTGCATCACAGTCCTACGAAGAATCATACAACCCCCTGAAAATTAACTCAGCATCCGATCGACTGTTAGGTATTCCAGGGCTACAGCGGACGGGTGGATAAACCTGATGCATTGGAATCGATCAAAGATCTGCAGCTGTTCCGTAATGCACAAAAGCAAGCGCAAAGAAGTCAACTTCCTCATACAAGCTAGCGAAAAGATATTGCCAACTGCCTGCTGGCACGACACTTGAGGAACCCATCTGCATCACAGTCTTCAGAAGAAAAACAAACAAACAACACTCCCTACAAATTTAACCAACATCCAACCGCCCGTCGGGCTAACCAGAGCTACAGCAGTAGACTGGATAGACCTACTGTATCAGAATCAACCAAAGGCCTGAAACTGTTCCACAAGACCTAGAAACGAGCGCGAAGAAATCAATTGGTTTACCTTACCTCGTAAGAAGATATTAAGAGATACTGGACGTTGAGTATTGGAAGCACGATTGTGCGTTTTGCAAACTTCTCAAGGTCGTTTGGCTGGAAGTTGATTGCTAGGAAATCGTTTTGCTTAAATGCTGCGGTTTGTCACTCGCTGCTTATCTTCATGTAGTTTATACAAAGGAGCTTACAAAGTATGAGAGTGGTTAACCACCAAGTGCTATATTTTGTAGAGCAGCGGTGCTTTTCAAAGTCGGCCTCAGATAATGAAATATGGGACACTAAAATCTCTTGCTGTGGGAATACCCTTCATTTACTTGGGGTCTGTAATCAGTAGAACAGGTGCGGAACTTCTGGAGGAGTGGGATATTTTTATTCCTCAGGATGACTAGTTGCATGCCGACATTTGTTTGTGCACAAGTTTCTTACGTTCACCTTTGAAACTTCATATACTGCGCCCACTTGAACTAATTCTTATTCATGTCACCTTACACATTATTGTTAGCTTTTAGTCGAAGATAACTGTTGTTGTGTTAAAAATAAATTGATGCAGTTCCCAGTCTTGATAAATAAGCCAACATTGTTTGTGATAATCCGCACATTAGGTTCCCCCTGTGAAGTTCTAGCTTCTCCTTAAAAAGCTTTGCTGGACAAGCTGTAACCGCTAGTTATGGGAATTCCAAGTCGTGAATTACTGGGATAAGTGTAGGATATCACCAGATTAATCGGATCGCTTTTTTAAAAATAGCATTGTACAATGCTGTGATGAATTCGGAAATATTCATTATTTAAGGGAGAGGAAACAGGTCACTTTTAGCGATGTAAGATGCTGATAATAGATCACCCCTCGGGAGTTCGCTGCGGTAGAGTTTACCTCCTGAAAACTTTCACAAAATAGGTTAGACGGATCAGTTATTTACTTGGCGCCTAATCTTTGGACATACTCAAGTTCTGTGGGGTCTCTTCTCAAGCAAATACTTGCTGCTTGAATGCAGTGTATAAGTTGAGGTCCCTCGAAATCGGGATACAATATTTGGAATACAATTTTATGAGAGCATTTGGTGGTTCTTCGAAGAAACTGAGATGTCTACAACCTTGTTGTTACTCTATCAGTGTGGATAGGTCTTCAAGTTATGGCCGAAGGTCTCTACTAATTGCTGAATTCCTTTAATTCCTTGCGTTAATGTCCTGTCTGTTACGTACTGAAGGCAACTACCGTGACCAATGCGCAACTGCACACTTGCTAAAATAAATTTCTAAATGCCGATGGAACTCTAGTTCAAATCCTCTTGTAAATCACATGTCTGCTTTACTACGGATAACCTTTCATTTTGTCAGCAAATAACAACACCACGAACTTATCCAAGAGTTCATTGGTATAGGGTTAGTACCCACGTCACTTTTGACGAGTCCCACTCCACACAGGTGCACATTTAGATGGTGCCGTGTTCCCTATTTCTCGTCGCATATGAATTCTTCAACGGCGGCCTCCATCGTGGTGTCAGACGCAAAACTGGGAGGTCCTAGTTGATCCATCGTGCGATACTATATTAAAAGCCTTACTGAAGTCAGCGAATACATCATCTTTGAGCAGATAGTTGTCTTGTGCTGCCATCCACTTCTCTTGCTGTGAGATAGGTTAAGTAGAAGAAACTAGCCATATTGTAGCAGTGTGAAAAGACCGTCATTTTTGAAATAAGTTGGTCATAACTGTCGGTGTATAAGATCTATCCTAGAGAATGGTTTCATGCAGTCTAGCGTCAAATAACCTTTACCTGGTTTACTGTGAGTAAATACAACCAAGAAACGACCACATTTTCCTATGAGCAAGTTATGGAAGAGCAAATTGGTTAAAGTTATTGGAACCTATTGAACGATGTTCATTTCCGTTTCAATATGTGCTCAACTATAATAAAACTGTGATAACGAGTATAAAGAAGTGCCACGACAAACGTACATTGCTTTCTTGTTTGATTAAATTCGACGAAGAGGCGAATAGGTTATAATTATATGTGGCTTGTGTACTGCTGGAAGCGTGTGGCTGGTTGACACTTCCCGGCTGCCCACACCTTGAAAGGCTACTTCTTCTTGAGGTACCCTGGAAAAGAAGAGATAGTGTGTTACCGCAAAGCCGATGGAACATCTGCTTGACGTCGGTTATACACGGCATTTTGAGGTTTTGGTGTTTTGCTTTTGAATCCGACTATGAATCTCTGTTACAAGCATCGGCATTTCGCGAAGAGGTGAGGCCGTGTTATTTTCAGGACCGACCTTTCCTCGTTGGGAAGGCAGCATGGCACTGCTAGTCATCCAAGGAAAGCACTACTGCTGTCACAACCAAGCAGCTAGCAGTAGTACAACTTTGCCCTCAGACCCCATCATAGTGTAGTATTTACCTTTCGTCTTATCGCTATCTAACAGACCTTTCTTTCATGGTAGGGCTTCGACTTAACAAGCGTTCTATCAGCATAGCTTGGTGGGTCATTGTGATATGCAAGCCCGAGCACCACGTCAATGTAGGAGCTATCAGTCGAGCCAGTGATGCTGCCTGGCTACCCAGACTTCAGTAGATGGAGCGGTATTGGAACCCGTGACCATTGGTTGGAGGCCATCTCCTTAGACCAATAGACGATAAGGCCACTACTTCGACCTAGAAAACTAGGGAGTATAATAAATCCTCACACAATAGGCTTTGTTCATATATTCCAAAAACATTATGTTAAATTAGGCTAAACAAACGTTATTCATTCAGAAATAATCTAGGTTGTAAAGGTACGTTATTTTTTTAAGCCCTAACGGATAAGTAAGCTAATAGGCTTTAGCATTACTCACTTTGAATGACCACTTCTTTTCTAACGAATAACGAGTAAATTTAGCTACCTGAATAATGATGGTGTCGTGTCCACATCTCACAGCAAGGTTTGTGAAGTACACAGAGTAACAATTGAGGCTGTTTTAAAATAAAAGGTTATGAGAATAAGAAATACCTGTTTTTAAAATGTAAGACCGATAACTTCCTGGTTATATATACGTCGCTGAGATGGTTATGTGTATTCAACTTCATAAAGTTTTCTTAGTGTGTAATTTAATTGCATGTTAAATTGTATGCAAGCAACCGTAGTTATTATCTTCGCAGTTATAGTAGTGTCCAACTGATATTCGACAATCATTAATGATGAGATCTTATCTTAACAAATAGTTAGTCACATTAATTTCTTCACACTTTTATGAAGTTCTATATACTGGAATTTCAACTGTTAGGACTACGACTTTTGTCGATGACAAGACAGATATAATATTGTAAGCTTAATCTAAGAAGTCTATGGAGTTCCATTTAATGTTTCTCGGTGTTTGTGACTTGATTTCGACAAATAGCTAGTGCAAACACTCATATTTTGTAACGAGAGGAGAAGTGAGAAATATACCTGGTTATCAGTACCTGTAAAATGGTACGTAAAATTGTCTACTCACCATACTACGATGTTGCAAGAGCTGTCAGACTTTATGCTACCACTGCGCGAGTGTCTAATCTTAAAATTTTAAAGGCCGTACCATTTAAAGGATGACGTGTCTCTTGAAAACTGTTGATTCACAACGAGTGGCGCCTGGTGGAAATAAGTTTGGTCAACCGATAGTACGAAAACAACAAAGAAAGGGTTTTCTGCCAGGGTTATCGGATAACAGACAGACAATTAACAAAGAACTTCGCATTACTGCTTAATCGTCCAAGTTGCCTCACCATATCAGGCGAGAAAGCACTCAGGTGAAAGGTAAGCGAGAAAGTGGTCATAAATAGTAGAAAGAAAGTGGGAAGAGAAAAAACTGAACTCAGTACGCCATTTTGGATAATGTGGGGATGCATCTGCGCCACAAATTAATTCTGAGCCATATCATTAAGAGTCTCAAACCACTGGATTTTATTGTCACGCCAACAGCCTCGAAGTCTGCAGTTCCCTACACTGCTCAAACCAACAATCAAAAACTGCATAAAGTGACATATTTTAATGTGGTCACCTCTAAACTTTTACCATCTGAACCTAATTCAGCCAACATTGTGTGACTACGCAGACAGTCACTAGGTATGCGTTACCCACGTCATAGCCAAGCGAGTCGATGAAGGTTCACAACCTCGATAACTGACTCACCCCTCTTTTACTTAAGACTGACGTGGTGACAGTACGACACATGTCCTATGCTGCGAAGGCAGTGGCGGTTGAACACCTAAAGCCTGTTCATGTATTTTACCTTTAATGGTCATATTTCACTTCTGTGAAGTAGAACAGAGCGAGTTGCAGCACAGTACACTCGACCCGTAATGGACAATCGAATATCGCGGAGGTACCATAAATGGCTCATTTTGGCAAGTGCTTATCGATCCTTTTGTATCCATGCGGAGATTTCGTAGGTCAATGGCCCACCAGGGCTGATCTGATTTACCCGGTGATTAAAGATGTCAACTCTCTCAACCATTTGGCTGCCTATCGTTAGCCAAGGCACCACTGAAGCCCAGCCCTGGAGCAAAAGCTTGCATTTGAGTGGTGATAAATGCATCAAAAAACATCCTCAATATGTCCTGAGTACTCTGCGTTTTTTCAGCGTCTCCACCTAACAGAACTACGTCGTCTGTATACTCTAAGTCAACCAAGTATTCCCTTATGGTTAGATTAATCCCTGTGAAGTCAAGCGATGAGACGGAGACATCGATGATAAATTGAAAAAAAAATGGGGAGAGTGGACACGATTAACGATACCATTCAACGTACGCGACTCAAATGATAACTCAGTTGGCTGTAACATGACCGTAGGTGTTTGAGTATAAAGACTTCAACATGGTGATGTAGTTATATAGTACTCCTTTCAGCGAGAGGCGCTTCCATGAGACCTCTCGGTCGACGAATTTGGATGCCACCTTCAGGTTGAGAAATGCAGGGTGTCGGTAAGTGTGCCTGTATTTTAGGACTGTATGGATGATGAATATCTGACCGATACACCCACAACCAGGTTTGAAACTTGCTTGGTTTCCTCGAGTTTGCTGTTCCCGAAACTCACTCAGGCATCTGATAATTATAGAAATTAAAATTGTAGATACTACGTTCTCCCGTGGTTATTACAAGAGGACTCACTTTTCTTGAAGTATGAGACAACCAGTGATTGATACGAATCAAAGGGTTTGATATCTGGTTCCCGTGCGCAAGCTGATACTTTAATGAATCTGACGAATAATCGACTAACACCCTCCTTTAGATACCTCTAGAACTAGTCCATGTGACTATTCTATCTCAGTGTTCCATTCAGAATGCAACTGAACTATGGGTTTCGGGATAGTAGGCGGAGGACAGTTGAACTGTTCCTTGAGGTGTTTAGGATATCGTTCCAGTCTTCTGCCTCGCGAGTGAATCACATAGCAATCCTTTTTCGTTATAGTTTCACTAAGAAGCGATATTTTTGCCCCAGTTTCCTTGAAAAAAATAACTATTTATACACGCAAACTATAAAAAGGCATAATAATGAGTAAAAGGTACTTAGCGCGAGTTAAAAGTTATTATTTGCATTACTTTTTTGTCAGTCA